TAGTTAACTAATTTGAGTAAAGTAAGAAAATTAGTCACGTTAATTATTTATAATGAATAAGAGTTGTATTTCCTAGAATATTTATGGTAATCAAGTATATTAGCTAGGACTCATATGATTATAAGGACTATTTTGAAAAAAATGAAAATAAATAAGAACAAAATAAATTTAGATCTTATATTTAAAAAAAAAAAATGAGCTCTTATATTAAACCGGAAGAAGTATACAGTAGTTTTTGGACAAAAAGTCAATTTGCTCTCAAAATCATGTCAAATATGATATTATAAGCAAAATGTATTAATATCGCCGTAGAAAAAAAGATTTTTTTTTAGAGATTGTTTGGATGAAAACTAAACATAATTTTAAAAATATTTTTATGATTTACAAATAAATATGCAGAGGAATTTTTCATTTTTTAAAAAAATATTTTTAAAAACACAAAACACCGGGTCAGAGATGACGCGCGCAGTTTGAGAAAACCCCCGAAAGACAAAAAGTGCACCTGTTCTTCCGGAGTCTGCCTTAAATGGCCTCGTACAGTTTGCAGATATTTATTGTCTGGGGGACAACTTGGCAAGGGTGGTATCTGACATTACCCTAAACCATGTCTGCAGGAGTCATGTTTGGAATCACATGAAAGTGGATCCAGGCGTACGCATGCACCTTAGATTTTTTGTCATGATGGATATATATGTTTCTATAGCCATGATTAACATTAACGTACATCTATATGGAATATATATCCTCCTCCGGTCCTAATTATAAAACCCAATTGACTTATTTGAGGAGATTAAGGAAGTAAGTTACGTTGGTTATTTATAATAAATAGTGTTGTTATTCCTAAATATCCTTGCTAATTAAGTATATTGGCTAAAACTATCATTATTAAAGGATTATCTTGGAAAAAAATGCATAAATATAAGAGAGAAAATGGATTGGGTCTTATATTAGGACCAAATAAAAAGTCAAATTGGGTCTATAAAAGGACCGGAGGAGTATATATATTCTAATAAGATGTATTTTTTTCTAAAATACCATAATCATTTTTTTTAATATCCTCTTTCCTTCTTCTATTTGATTATGGTTGAGGAGTATCTATAGGAATAATTTAGAGAAAACTGATAAATATGAAAATGGGTCTTATATTTAAGACCAAAACCAACTCAAGAATTGAGTATTATATTAAGGACCGGAGGAGTAACTTCTGATAAGACGTATTTTTCACACCTGATATCATGGCGTCTATATATCCAGAGACTGTCCCAGACACATTTTGGTTATGACATATTGCCAAACGTGTGTACGGGATCAGTGTTTTTCCATAGGCAGCTAATTAACAATTGAAAAAGTTATCCCATGTATGGTAATGCACGGCAGGGATGCAAATTTCAGGTTTGGAATAATTTCATGCCATCTTTAATTGTTTTTAGTTGATCCCAGTGATTGTTGCCCAGAAAAGCTTTCAAAAACTGGTCTGAAATGAAACATGCAACCCAAATAGTAGAAGACCATGATATTACCCTCGTCTCTGCTTAACCGGAGATTTTAAGGAAAGCAGTGTAGTGATATTATTAAATCAAAAGTTTTCAAAAGAGTGCACCCACTTTCCCCGCACTATGCAGATAATATTGATTTGGGCAGAGCGTAGAGACACTTAGAAAATAAATACTTCTCTGATCCTAAATATAAAACTCCATTTATAGTATAATTGACACTATAAAAATGATTTTATATTTAGAATCAGAGAAATATAGTTTAAAAATTCGCATGCATGAGACTTAAAAATCACGTAATATCCATCAACTATGAAATATAGTAATTACGAGGCAGATCGGAGAGGGTGTACCTGTTTTGTAAGCAAGGCGAGTTACTGCTTACGGTTCAAATAAAATGTTAACTAGTGTTTCCAAAGTTTCATGTTTCAGTATGTAAGATATCCTATGAGGCAGTGTTGTATAAAGAGAGAATTTAATTATAGGATATTATTAATCTATTAAGGGGATGAAAAACTATAACAAACCTGTGAAGCTTCTTAAAGTGAAAATCATAACGATGCACCCATTTGAGGGGGGACGACTCTGACTCCGACGGCTCCACATCATGGGATTTCACTGAGCATCATGTCGGTCAAAACATTTCACACGCAAACCACACAATTATGAGACTCTCTCATGTAGTGCTAATAGTACGCAATCAATAGAAGTTATTATTATAATAAGTTTGTTGATTTCTAAAGAGGATGGCTTCCCAGAAATATACACGACAATGAAGTTCCCTGCCGTTTTTTAATTATCCCTTCCCATGTTATGCCAAAAGGACCTGAATTCCTCTGGACCCATGAAACAAAGATTACACTCGTCTAACTCTAAACAGGGCGAATCGAGATACCCACCAATTGAAATTATCATCTCTGCCGCCCTATCTATACAACCCATACAAGCCGGATATACAATTACGCCTTTTCGAGTGCTATGAGTTAGGGATTATTAATAATAATTTAATGCATAATATCTATATGTATATCTCAAGGTTTACCAAGTCACATCGCCCCCGCCTTACGATCGAGTAGTATGGTTTTTTTTTTTTTTTTTGTTTAATGATGTATGGGAAAGTTAGGGTACCTAATATACGATGACATCACATAATTCTACACTCATTAATTATCATCGCACGGGCAAATAAAAAGTGATCAAAACTATTTTAAACTAGAATTTGCCCATATTCTTGATCCTAAAATCATCACTGATCAAAACCCCGATCACTCATCAACACATGCATGTATGCTTTTTTTTTTCCGGTTAAATAAGAGAGGGGGGATTATGGCTATGAAATGCATATATTTTTAAAATAAATACTCTATATATAATCTCGCAAGAGAAATTACAGTGAGCAGCGGGCGTGAAAGGGTCGTAAAAAAGGACTGATATGAAAGTTACAGAAAGTAGCAATAAAAAATAAAAAGTAAAGAGGGGCGTAGCCACTAGCCAGTATGGAGCGCGGGAGATGGAAGGGAATAGGGAGAGTGAGGGGAAGACACGTAAGTTGGTGGGGCGGGCCCATTGAAGGAGGGAGCATTTAAAGATCTGGGGTGTCACGCTCACACACCAAATGGCGCGTATTGTACTTGCCATGCCCATTGTGCTGGTCCACTTCTATTTGTCCTCCAATGCTCTCATCCCTCCGCCCCATCCACAGCACGTACGTACAAGTTAAACTAGAGATTTCTTTATTCCATGCTTTACCGGTAAACTTGCTTTTCACACACATCTTCCCAGTGATTCTCTATAATGAACCTGTTTTATTTAATTTGTTGTTTCCCTCGTTTTTTTTCCTTTTTTCTTCTTCTTTTTTTTAAATATTCTTCCGGTGTTTACTATAAGACTTATTTAATTAATTTGATTATATTAAGAAAGTTAGGTAAGTTAGTTTATTATAAAAAAATATGACATGCTTTTCTTAAAACACCATAATCATCTTTCTTACTATCTTCCCTTCCTCTTTTACTTGATTATGGTTGAGGAAATATCTATAAGGGTAATCTAAGAAAAATTAATAAATGTAAGAAATAGATGTTATATTTAAGACCAAAATCAACTCAACAATTTTAAATCATACATTAAGGATCGAAGGAGTAACAAACAAGGAGATCACTGTGCAGAAGACGAGGCCAGGGGAGCTAATGAAATGGCACCATAACAAGAACAACCGATATGCGAATGCGATGGTGGGGTGTGTAAATATATTCACATGCACGCACACATATATAGTTTCTGTGCTTGCCAGGACCAAACACAGACCGAAAAAAACAAAAAACAAGGTGTAGGAATATTGGGGGTGGTGTGGAAGAATGATTGTTGTTGGTTGTTGGTTCACAAGTGGCTCTGTTGTCCCTCACGCCTTCTGTCCTCTCTCCTTCTTCAATTCCCTCCTCCCAAAATATCTTCCCCCTCTGCACTCTTTTCTGTGCCTGTTGTTGCTCACCGTTCACGTCTTTCTTCTAAATTCTAATGCCCGCCCCGCCCTATTACTTTCCTCCACAACCATTCTTAGAGTACACATATATACTACTCCCTCCGTTCCTTATTATAAGAGACATTTGATACTTATGGCATGTTTCTATATATAAGAGACACTTAAAAGTTGTCTCTACTTTTTTGTGTTGATTTTCTATTTTACCCATATTTATTGTCTCCAACTCACACTCTCTCTCCCTCCCACTTCTCTTTCTTTTAATAATTTAATTGTTCTTTCTCATACTCTATCTCCTTATTAATGAGGGCATTTTTGGAAAAAAGATCATACTTTTTACACATTGATTGTTCTTAACTAATTTTAACTGTTTTTTTGATCAACGTAATTTGGTTATTCGTCTCTTATAATAAGGAACGGAGGGAGTATTAGTTAACACACACATATATATGAAAGCGGTAATTAGTAATATAATAATCATGTGTTCTTAACACTGATAATAATAGTAGTGCTGCTGATGTCACCAGATAACCCATATATCCCTCTTTACGAGGATCCCACTAATTTGACCTAATTTCTCGGACGTATTCACTTCCTTCTCCTGGCAACCGTCTGCTAATTCCCCACAATTCCCTTTATTTCCACTAATCAAATTAAAGATGCATCCATCCTACTCGAAAATTTTCTTTTCTTTCTTTTTTTTTTTTTACAAAAAATAAGTTAATCTCAAAGACCTTCTAGCTATTCCAAAGTGGAGGAACCAGCAGGAAGGTAATGGGCGTTTTACACACACCAGTTGGTCATTTAAATACGGCCGTACATGATCGAGTTAATGCACCATCCCCCCAGCTTACACATGCTTCTTCATTCTAGTACTTCTTTGTTCTCGTAGCTTCCCCTATTATCAACCGCATATCCGCCGGCTTCCATTGCGCACATATACAAAAGCCTTCACTGATCTCCTTATCAACCCCAAGCCTTCTCACATTCCCACACCTCCTTCTCTATTTCGAATTAAATAATCTCTCACCATGTCAAAACCAACCACCACCGCTGTTAACGCCAGGGCAGTGTTATGGCGGGCTCGTGTGATCTCCGCTCTACGAACCACCCTGGCTTGCACCATAGTGGGCTGCACCTCCCTTTACGGGCCGGCGCCCCTCCGCCGCTACCTCAAGTTCCCGGCCTTCTCTTACGTCACCACGATTCTCATAGTGTCGGATGCAACGCTGGGTGACGCCCTGCGGGGTTGTTGGCACGTATTCTGTGCAAGCCTACAGGCAATGATCCTGTCCATTGCTGGGTTACAGTTGATAGGACCGGCGAACCTGACTGTGCCGGCGGCAGCGGGGGCAGTGGCTGTGGGGGCGCTGGTGGTGGCGATGCCAGAGTCGAGCCACTTGATGAGCAAGAGGATAGCGTTTGGGCAGCTGGTGATTGTGTATGTGAAGACAGTGATAGATGGAGCAGATGCTGGGGTGATGGCGCATCCCATTCATGTCGCTTCCAGCACTGCCCTTGGAGCGCTCGCTTCTGTGCTCGCTATGTTGTTCCCTTATCCTCATCTTGCATGTCTCCAGGTAGATATATCAGCTCGCTCTCTTTTATTCCCTTAACCCTGTATAGTTTTTACAAGAAACAAATAACCAATTCAGTCTCTATCAAAATATTATTTTTTAATAACTCTAATAATTCTTCTTGCATGGAAAGATTAAGATGAGTGCATTGTGATTACGATTCTCTTTTTTAATAATTAGCGTGAAAAGTATATTCATAAGTACACCAAATTAACAAAAAGTTTTTATTTTTTATAATTAGTGACTCTCAAAATTATATTCTCTTATAATTGAGAAGGATGGGAGGGAATTAATAAGTTGTGAACAGATAAATAATGCCTTTAGTGGTGGCTGATTCGCTATAATCTAGTTGATGTTAGGTTAATGATTCATGCTGATGAGAGATATATATGCCGATGTTGGCAGATAATTAAGCTTTTTTCCGACTCATGCATATCAGTTCGCAGTTTTCAGATTTTTTTTATTTACAGGGAAAAGGTAGAACACATTTTTTAAAGCAACAATTGATAAACATTAATTCGTTGAACACTGTCCTATTTGTAACGCATTTTTTTCCCCCCCGGAAAGTTATTATATTTAGCAAAGCAAATTCTTACACGATTGTGTGGCACTGAAAAAGCCAACGCCTTGTCTTTATTGCGTGTCTCAATCTGTCGAGAGGGAGAGAGGGAGATTATTAGGTGAGCCTGTCTTCGTCACTGGGCATGATGAGGAAGAAGCCACTATTTGTTTGCTTTTGGTTTTGGGTTAAAGCTTCTATTTTCTGATTTATAATAGCACTAAGGAGGCACTGACAGTGTTATAAGTAAAGGATGTTGAGGAAGAAGTCACTATTCATATATGATATTCGCTGTCATCTTAACAAGCAGATCACTTATCAAAAGCACAATCTTATGGGAAATCTTTCAACTGATATTTTAAAACATGGATGTAACTAAAAGCAACCTTTTCTTAAACCCGTCGAGCATTTAGCAAAGGATGATGATGATGATGAACAGATCATAAAAGGACGAGAACTGCCTCGCACATCAGGAAATAAAAAATCGAAAGGGGTTATAGAGGACTACAGGAGCGTACGTGTTAGGAGAAAAGATATTAGGAACCAATGGAGATGAGCATAGCAACTGAGAAGAGGGGACCCACCATAATCGACTTCTTTCTTTGGTATTGCATTGCCCCGCTGGATATTTATTATTTATTAGTTATTATATGTATTTGTCCCTCCACTATTTGTTTGCTTTGTCCTATATTGACCTGGGAGATAATGGACTTCTAGTTGCGGCTAATAAATTAAAAGCTTTGCTGTGAAGTCAAAAATATTAATTGAGCGTTCAATCCCATTTCATTCACATAAAACAAAACAACAGAAACAATAACGCATCATCTTCGTTTTGTTTTGATTTCAGATACGGAATGTCTACAAATTGTACGTTGCGCATGCCTCCGAGAGGTTGAATCATAACCTGCAGGCCCTTTCTGCTCTGGACAACGCAAGTGCTCTGGATTGGTTCACTGAAGCCAAGTCTCTCTCGACAGTAGGGTCCAAGCTTCTCGATTGCATAAGATGTAAACTGGTAAGCTAGCTTCCTCGTAAAAGAATAAAATCAGGTCCAATTGATTAGGCGGTTGATGGCAGATGAGCTAAACATTTCGAGCTTCTGAACCAAACAGGACGGCATGCGTTGGGAAAGGCCTCAAGTGACAATCTCCGATCCAAATTATTATGCGCACCCGGAAGAACATCTGCAAGACATGGAGTTAACACTGAGAGGAATGGAAATTGCTCTGTCGTATTGCTCTGCGTTTCCCGTTGAAGCCGTCGATCAGGAACTCAGAGGTGTTTTGCTCGACTATAAGGGTCGGATCACTCAAAAGTTAGACCAGCAAGCCAAGTGCTTTGCGTTGTCTGATACAGCCACAGTTCCAGACAGCAAGAAAGAAATTTCCAACAGTTTCTCAGGGTCTCCAAAAAGCCTTTGCAAAGCTTGTAAAGATCTCCCAACTTCTTTCTTTATTTACTGCGCGGAACTTCTCCTAAAGGATTCACACATTACAAACAATGAACAGCCCATGGCGGAGAAAACTGATGCCGTTCAATATAACTCCTGGAAGATTCGAGAGTTTGCGATGAACCTGCTGCCCAAGAGTCAGAATTTGGCATTTGCAATAAAGTGCTCGCTTTCATTAGGCATTGCCGTGTTACTTGGCTTGATATATAACAAAGAAAACGGGTATTGGTCAGGACTTACCATTGCCATCAGCTTCATCACAGAACGGCAGGCCACCTTCACGGCTGCTAATGCTCGAGGACAAGGAACGGCAATGGGGTCAGTCTACGGCATCCTATGTTGCTTCCTGTTCGAGAGATCGGTGGATTTAAGGCTCTTGCCTATTTTGCCGTGGGTTGTTTTCTCTTGTTTCCTGATGCATGGCAGGATGTATGGGCAAGCTGGTGGGATTTCAGCTGTTTTAGGGGCCCTATTAATTCTGGGGAGGAAGCATTATGGCACTCCTACTCAGTTTGCGATTGCTAGAATCACCGAAGCCACAATCGGACTCATTTGTTACATGATAGTCGAGATTCTTATGAACCCCTCAAGAGCAGCAACCCTGGCAAAATCTGAACTATCCCAATGCTTGAGGTCGCTTCAGGATTGCATTGATGCCATAACCATTTCCCCTGAAGGTGAGAACCAGATGCCACGGTCACCTTCCCAGACTTTTCGAGAAAGACGGAAGAAGCTGAAATGTTTTGTGAATCAACTAGAACAGTTCTCATCAGATGCCAAGTCGGAGCCAAGTTTCTGGTTCTTGCCTTTTCATGGTGCCTGCTACAGTAAGATGCTGGAATCGTTATCAAGGATGGTAGATCTCTTGCATTTTGTGGAATACTCAACAGAACACGTCCCACGATTTTCAGAGGAGGGTGAAGTAAATTTGTGGGAGCTTCAAGAGCACATGGTGAAGAACATAGAACTTTTCCAGACTAAAGTTGCCCCTACACTGAGGCTCCTTGAGGAGATAACCAGGATGAAGTCACTAAGCCAACTCGAACAAGATTTAAAGAGTGAAAATATCCCCGGTGACGTTGAATCAGGGCATGCAAATGGCGACACATCGAAGATCTCGTGTGCGAGTGAGGACGCTGATAGAATGACAGGCTCTTTCCTCCAGCACCTGGAGGAGGCAGCTAATATGATTGAGACAAACAAAGATGAAGAGATACTTATAGGCCAGATGATTTTTCACTACAGCTGCTTGGGATTCTGCATCGTGAGCTTGATGAGAGAAGCAATAAAGATTGAAAATGAGGTCAAACAACTACTTGTATGGGAGAATCCCTCCAGTCGTATAAACTTGAACGAGATTTATTGTAAGATCAACGCTCTGCGTTCAGAATAAACCCCCCTCCATAAGACTTCACTAGGAATTATTAGTGTATTAGAAGTGACTTAGCCTGCTAATTAAGCAATATCATGCACAAGAAACACAGGTTCATCTGAAAGTAAAACCCCCACACCCCGCAGTAGGAAGTGGCCGGGGAGAAGACCTTCAATAAATACAGCCTAGTTCACTCAAAAAATGAAAATAAATATACGGCCCAGTCATTTTTAAAGTCAGAGTTCTGTAACCGCAAAACATGGCACTGGAGCGCACAAATCAAAAGCAAGGATAGATAATGGAATTTCCTTTTTTCCTTTTTTTTTTTTTTTTTTGCAAACATAGCACTGAAATGCCATTGACATTCCTTAATTAAAGCTCTCTACAGACTTAACTGAAAATCCATTAGTGGAAAAACAACTCATTCTTGTCAGACTACATACTGGAAGCCGCAATTTTTTTTTTCCTGAACAGTTAGCTTTAAAAAAACGCCCTATCGTTCTACTGAGTATTTGCAATTTCTGTAGTTCTAAAATAAAACTAAAATTTTGTAATTAATTTCTAGTTAATTTATTAATATTTTCCCACTAGTTTGCTTTTTGAGGGACAATAACGCCATGCCATTTGATTGTATCCTGCATAGCTGACCGTCGATTTGAAACCATCAACGACAAAAGTATTAGCCACGTGAGCGATCCGTAACAAGGGAGCGGTGCCAATTAAATTAAAAGAAGAAACATCGTCACCGTTGAATGATGACAATCGAGGGTTTAAAATTAACCATAGAAGATGACGCGGATCGTGATTCGATGCCGTCGATGACGGTGTAATCCAACAGCCACAGATCGCTCAAGTCATCTTGGAAACCCAAAAACGGGCCTCCATATAAACCCAGTCCCCGCACTTTGGTTTCACAGCGTTTCGAAGGTCCTGGCAACTAGCAATATCGTTCCTGGGAGTTAAGAGTATTTGGCAGTGAAAGATGTCGGGTCGTGGCAAAGGAGGAAAGGGACTGGGAAAAGGAGGAGCCAAGAGGCACAGGAAAGTGCTGCGTGACAATATTCAGGGCATCACGAAGCCGGCGATTCGTCGTTTGGCCAGAAGAGGAGGCGTCAAGAGGATTAGCGGCCTCATCTACGAGGAAACTCGTGGTGTGTTGAAGATTTTCCTCGAGAATGTGATTCGCGATGCTGTTACTTACACTGAGCACGCTCGGAGAAAGACGGTCACCGCCATGGATGTCGTCTACGCACTTAAGAGGCAGGGCAGGACTCTCTATGGTTTCGGTGGTTGATTTCCCTTTTGCTTAGGGTTTTCTAGTGTATTATTTGCTAGCATTGTAAATCATGTCTGAATTGGGTATTGTTCGCTATTTGGATATCTGCTATGGATTTGTTGAACTCTAATCAACAATACCTATTGGAAATTTGCTTTTAATTCAGTTGCATGGCTATATGATGAAGAAATTCTGATTCCTCTCACTTCCTTCGTTAGCTTCCTTCAAAATCGATGGATTAAATTCCTTTCCAGCATAGCGCTGGACGCTTGATATAGTCGTAATTATTCAATTCTTTCTTTTAAAATTGTGTTGGTGGGCTGTATGTAACAATTCCTCTTGGCGTCATCCCACCGTGTTCTAGTGTTCCTATTTTCCATACCTCGTATGTGGCCAGAATATTGAAAAGCCTTCTTTTCAGCGCCATATTTAAATTAACTAAATTGAAACTGTAGTGGTTTTTATTTACATATGGATTATGTATGATTTTTGAAAATGTAGTGCGTTACGAACTGTGAAAGTGGATACTAGTGTCATGGACAATTGGGATCAACTGCCCAGAGGTACTACTAAACACTGCACAATGAATTATCCATCCCGGGGAATCAAATGCTTATTTTACAGATTAAGGATACGAAAGTTTGAGGGAACCTGGGATTTTCCGCTTCTGTCACGTTATTAAGAAAATGGTCACATTACAACTGAACAGCTTCCGTAAGAGGAATTAAAAAGTGAGAAAGATCATATTTCCTCGTAGAATCTGAAAAAGACGTAGGTATGACACCTGTTATATAATGTTTTTTGGGTGCAATTTTGCTGAAGAATTCGAACAGTTTGGTATATCTTGTTCAAAATTAAAAGCGAATGATATGGTCAGCAAGCATCTGTTGGCACATTTTTAGCTGGTTCTGAACTGAAGGTTCTTGTGTGAATTACTGCACTCTACAGTTGCTGCAAGCGACTGCTCAACTGAGAGGCAGAGGAGGACCTGATCATATTGCTACTTTAAAGTTTAAATGCTTACTTTAGGCTTTGCCGTGCGTGGAAGGAAGTTGTTAGATCGTTAAACCAATCGGTGTCAGCGATATTGCACGTTGTTTCGAATAATCCTATAGTCCTGTTTTCCTGTTTTGGAACCACGGAAAGAAACCAAAGAACATCAAGAGACAACAGTAAACAACACATTAGAATGAGGCTGACACGAGCAAATAGGCTTGATGCTGTAGACATGCAAAATAAAAAGACGCTAACCTTGATGTCTTGGGGTGTTTCTTCACAGGCACTTTGGGGGGGGGGCATTTTTAGATGAGGACAGTCGAAATTCTTTTCAAATTTTAGAAATTACGTAAAATTACTTTTAAAATGCTTATACAAACGGTCTCATTGGTTAGAACACCACAATCCAAATAAGCAGCAGCTTGCGGAGGATTGGCAGGGGCTTTTTTGTACTTTCATAAATTGTGCGATTAAGCTGTTTTACGATCAAGAGAGACACAGTAAAACTCCGACGAAACATATTGATTCCTGTGAGGAAGCGTAAACGTTTACGTCTCAGAGTGGATCTCCAAAGCCGAAATTGCTGGCGGTGATTCATCATTGGAGGTGACCTTGGAGGAGAACTGCGTTCCCCCCCCCCCCCCCAAAACAGTGGTGCTGTAAGTGTAAAAAGCAAGAACTACGTCCGCCGCATTTCCGCCCCCGTCTTGACGACGGAGCATAAGCGGGGTCCAAAGAAGTTAGGTCTCGACGGTCTGCGAGGAATAGGGTTGCCAACAATTGAGTCCACATTTAGGCCCAAAAGTACACATCTCCACAGAATTAGGTAGATGGTTGGGCCCATTGCTGCATCGTCTCTGTGAGGGCCGAAACCAAGGGTGATCTGAACTGTAAATAACGAGGGGGAAAAAATGGGAACATCCTGTAATTCGAAACATTAAAATCAGATGTCATTTTTTTCATTCTTAATATCAGCTTCTTTAATCGAACTTGAAATATGATAAATGTATAATTTTTTTGGCAATTGACTTAGCAGGCATATGATTTAAGGCTCTTTTGCCTTGCCTTTTTTTGTTTTTTTGTTTTTTTTGGACTTAAAAAACATGCATTGTCCCCACAGCATATCCAGGAGTCAAATCCAGCGTTGGTTTTCCAGTGTCTTATTTCAGGATTCATTGAGCAGCAGGACAAAACTCTCCTCGATGATCACGCTGAACCACTAGAGATGACAAATAATCTCTGTCAGGGTGACATGCACCCATGATTTTGTTGCCCTTGGCGAGGAAACTTGGTAGCTAGGTAGTAATAAGATTTTTAAATCATAGATGTGGCTGGGAATGAAGGAGCGAGAGTAGCTTGATGCTAATCTGAATACCTAGCTGGCTACACAATGCACTCTTTTGAAAACATCCTCTTCCCTTCTCTCCTCCCTACATATGTTGATAGCTAATTTGCTGCATTTTTCATTTGTCGGTGTACACTTGAACTCTTCAACTGATGCAATCGATTGCCTTATCGCTAACATCAAAGTCAACAGCAACGATCATATGAGTTATATTCGTAAGAGATTATATATATACATTTATATATGCGCACTCCATCGATATGATCAGTGGAATCGCATAACTTTAGAACGCTAATGTAATACCCATTTTCTCCCTGTCCGTACGATTTGGAGTGGTTGGCTGCATATAGCAAGTCAAACATGCGATACATGCATCCTTGCAACTAGGTTTCGCTTTATCATCAAAATGAGGGGGCCGGGCAAGGCTCAACGAATCAACTGTATATGGCATTGATTAACTGCTCACTTGTTTTATCGATTATACTACCTCCGGTCTTAAATATAAAAGCTGGTTAACTAATTTGTATAGATTAAGAAAATAAGTTAAATTGGTTAATTATTTGTAATAAAAATGTGTTGTTTTTCTTACTAATTTAGTATATTGGTTAAAACTATCATTATTAGAAGGACTACCTTAAGAAAAAAATACATAAATATGAGAAACAAAGTAGATTAATATCTTATATTTAGAATCAAATTAAAGGTCAAACGAGATTTTATATTAAAAACCAGAGGTAGTATATGCAATTGATAAGGCGTCAAGAATTGGAATCAGGGTTTATTAATTAAGGATACAATCGTTTCATGTAAATTATATACTACCTCCGGTTTTTAATATAAGACCTCATTTGACTTTTATTTTGGTCCTAATTATAAGACCCCAACTCACTTTGTTTCTCATATTTATGTATTTTTTTCCAAGATAGCCCATCTAATAACGATAATTTTAGCCAATAAACTTGATTAATAAGGATATTTTAGGAAAGACAGTACGTATTTATTACAAATAACTAAATTTATTTTTTAATCTCATCAAATTAGTCAATTAGTTCTTATAATTAGAACTGAAGGTAATATACAAGTGGAGAGGGGATTTTGGCACAATGAATAATTATAATAATCATATCAAATATATTCAATTCATTATGATTGCTCCAAACAAAAGTAGCAAGTTTTCCTTCCAACACAACACAGCTGGCTAGAGTTTTGATGATTCTGATGTTGCTTTATGGTGGTAAAGTGTGTTCATGAAATTTCAGGGAAACCGCCTCCAGACAATGCGCACATATAAAATGTTATTATATGCAAATAAATTAATGTGAAAGCTGCAAATGAGAGAGAGTGGGTTGTTAAGGTTCCTGAACCGTCCTTGTTGGGGCACTTGCATTGCATGCTATAGCAATTAGCGGCCATAAACGTCTCTTTAATGATTCAATATTTACTATAGAAAAGAACACAAATATGAAAGAAAGAGAGAGTATATATATATATATATATATATATATGTAGGGTATGGTCACATTTTGATGGATGGAATTTAAAGGCAAATAGCGAAAGGAGCGAGTGATTTTTGTGAGTCTCAACTAATTTTGATAGTGCGTTGACTAAACACACACACACACACACACACATGTTGATCTGCATGTTGATAATTACTGGAAAAAAATGGAAGCTCGTGAAAGCATCCATGGTGGTTAACCCCTCTGTCACGGACACTTCCCTCTTTTCACCAGTAAAAGCCGTAAAAGTGGGTGTTGTGTGTGCGCGTCTCCCCCTGCAAAGATACAGCTTGCACGCTTGCACAGTGGTTTTGAGAGCGATGATGGTGACGATGGATGGATGTTGAAGTTTTGTTTATGAAATATTACCCAAACTGGATTATGTATTTTGGCTGCTTTGTGCGAAACGATCGTTTGGCGGCGACACAAATATGCACGCACATGAAATTATGGGGTTGGATAAACATAATCTACGTCATAGCTTAGGATGGATAGCAACTATAGTGATAGAGAGGTAATTTAATTAATTTGAAGTTGTAATATTTCTTGATCGGTCAATATATATCCAAAAGGCAGGGATTATATAGATATATGTGGCTGCGCTTACATATTGATGAAAAATTGTAGATCACAGAGAATGGGGTTGTCAGATCAAACTTTATGGAGCTTCTTTCATTTGATGATGACAATTGCAAGTTCCTCCACCGATAACCTTTATATGCTCTCCGTATTGATTGGCACATATTCTGTGTCCTTTTACAAACATATACTGGATATATTGATGAGCTACTATGATTGCTAGCCGGTGAATATCAGAGTATAAACGACAAAAGCCTCCATTTTAGCAAGACGAATATATGTGTGTGTGTGTGTGTCTTTAAAAAAAAAAAAAGGTGCATTAATCGTTTGTGTTTATATATTAATTAATAGTATTCTCTCTTTTAATATGAGATGACTGACCTGATGCTGATGAGTATGTATTTGTATCTCATTCTCCTTCTCTCTTTTTTTTTTTTGATGTTTTTGTCGCCGGGTGTTTTATGAGTGAATCGTGTGACGTAAAGAATGTGATTTTTGCTTTTTTTGTTTTATTTTATTAGCCTGGTGATTGTTTACCTTAATTATTGCTATAATTAATTAATTAATTACGTGAATTTGAAAGCTGGGACGTGCATCTGATGAGAGATAATATGTGAAGTAAAATTTCATACGATTGAGTTGTAGACGGCTAAAGTTCCTGTATCTTGCTTGATTTTTAACTGACGTGCGTTGATCTCAAAGTGGTATGCAAGAGAGGAAGTAGTGGGGTTGACCTGACATCAAATGACGCAGATTAAAATAAAGACTGTTCAATCTGTTCACGTGGAGACAGGTGCAAATTTAATTACGTTCATTATCGATCATGAGATTGTTGTTGGCATGCAAACTGAATAATCCAGTATACATTAAAACGACTCATTAATCAAATATCATTCCTTCTAAAAATGTCTGGCTTATTAAAATCCTTCCAAATTCAGGGTAGCAAAGTCAATAATGCGTTCAATGTTTTACAACAGAGTTATAGATGATCAATTAAAGAAGGCAGGGAACATTTTGGAGCACTCTATATAGAGACTATTCATGACGAGATTCTTACTTTATTATGATTATTTTTATTTCTTTTACAAAAACCATTCGATCATCCAGTTTAATAACAAGGAATGTTTTGTGGAGGGTCCGGCAAATGGATATTTAATTACATAACATGACTTACTACTGGTCACAAAAATATTAATAATCTCTAGTCATGCATCATAACATTTTACAGCTCCAATCCTGGTCACATCATACATACAAAATACATGGTTCTTAAAAAAAGTTAAAGTCGTGAGTTTTAATGATAGATACGTCGTCAAATTTGTGTGTCCATAATTTATAGGAGAGAAGGGCTATTTAATCAAAAGTTAACTTAATTAGAAAGGAGACACACGCGCCTAAGATTTGTGGGTATAATGCGCATTAGCTCCTCAAAATTCTCTTAAAAGTGGAGGAGGGTTTCCAATCAACTGGGGGAGTCTGCGACATCAACAATGGCGGCTTTCATTTGATTTGATTTGATTTCAAACTCCGTTCTCTATTGTCGTAGCTCAATGCTCCAAATCCATTCTATTTTCCCTTGCGTGTGGAGTATATCTTCCCAATAATTGACTGCTTCTATATATCTCGGGTTCACACCTCAAGACAGTACATATATAGATTCGTTTTAATGGCTACTATATTGTCTCAGTCATCATCATTACTTCTTCCAAATGCATAACTCATCATAGTGGACCTCCCAAAGTCAACAGCCAGAAACATCTCCCCTTCTCTGCCGTTTAAAATAAACATAATTATCCGTCTTAATTACTGGTCTTAAAAATAAAAACCATGGGCTCTGCGTAAACAATTATTCTCCTTCAGGAGGAAAAGGCAGGCGTTCCGAGAAAAGAAAGCGGGAGGCGGGGAAAAAAATCCTTGCTAGTGCTTTTGGCTCAAATAAATTGATATGCTAATGGAAGCATCTTTCCTCCTGCCTTCCACTTTCTGTTTTAGGAGCAAATTACGATAATGTTACCTAGTCACGCTCTTGAGAGGCATTAAAACACAAATAGGGCAGTGTGTAGTGGGATTTGAATCTTCTCCATACTCTCTCTTCATACTCCGCTCTGCACTTAATCTCATCTATTCGTCTAATTTTCCATTTAATCTATCTAATTTAACATTAAACAGTTAATAAATACACAAATGGGATCGAGCATACGGCCGGGGAGGATCTACCTTCACATATATTACCTCCGATCCTAATTATAAGAGCCAGTTGACTAATTTGAGGAAATTAAGAAAAGAAGTTAAGTTAGTTCTTTGTAATAAATATGTGTTGTTTTTCCTAAAATATCCTTACTAATCAAGTATATTGGTTAAAACTATAATTATTAGAAGGACTATTTTGAAAAAAATTGAGTAAATATGAGAGACAAAATGGATTGAGGTCTTATATTTAGGACCAACATAAAAGTCAAACGGAGTCTTATATTAAGAACCGGAGGTAGTATACTGTATAGAAGTCAGATTAAGGATGGAAACACCTCTCAATAATATTTTCTATGGTAAAATTAATCAAGAAAGGACAAAATTTAAATACTTTTTTCACTTGGAAATGTAAATGCTGCTATAGGTAAGGTCAGGTTTACCTATTACGTGCAAGGACCAAAGATGGCAAATAAATGAAAGTCACCGAATGATAAAATTTCAAATCGAATATATATTATAACATATATATATATATTTTAAAGAGAGCCCATACCGTGAATTGGAGGGGTATTTTTACTATTGGTAATCCAAGTAACGCTGAGTGTCAGATATCTTAATTGCTGACACCATGGTTTTAAGAGCCAGACCGGACCGGACGATCCGACCGGTCGGACCGTCGCCCGGTCCTCACAACGGCTCGGTCAAAGCTTTTGGGCCGCCTGAGTGGTTCACCCGTTTTGGACCGTCGTTGAGCCGCGTTTGGGCCGGAAACCGTTCCGGATTTGTGAAAACCGGACGGGCTGAAGTTATCATCAGAAATAAAAAAAAAAAACAGGGCCCAAAAGTGAAAAGTCCAAATTAGTGCACGTGTGGCTCTTTCTGTATATTTTTTAAAACATTTTTTATTAAAAAAACGGAAAGGCAAAGGCAGAAGACCCCACCGGACGGCCCACGAACTGCGTCTCTGTTTGGCTCTTTCTGAATTCTGTCGTGCGCTAAGTCTGAGTGCCCTAGGGTCCCCACCACGTCGTCTCCGTCTCTCCATCTTCTTCCGCCCTCCGCTGTGCTCCGTCGTGCTCTGTTCGCTAGCGCCGTCGTCCACCAGCATTTACAGTCTGGTTTATTTTGTGATTTAGTCCGCCAACATTTCTGATTCGGTCCATGCTTGGAGCTTTGAAGGTGTTGGCAGCAAAACCCAAGTTAGAGAAGTAGAGGATTGAACCGTTGAAGGTAGAGGTGATCATAAATTTGAAGTCATCACAGTCCAAATCTGCAGGTAAATCACTCTCTGCTCATTGGATTCTAAATAGCTCTGTTTCGGTTGTGTGAAGCCGTGAACCTCCATGCTCTGTTTATGTTGCCGAAATCAGAGTCGACTACCAGTACCATGATGGAGAAGATAGCATTTGATGCTTATTTATATATATATATATATCGAGTGAGTTGTAAGCCTGTGTAACTATCTGATTTTGACCAATGTATAAGCTTATATATAAATATATGTTGATTGTTGAGTGAGCTCTGAGCTGTGAGTCTGTGACCGAGGAATCTATGTTGAATGTGTTGAAGAATATGATAAAGTCATAAAACAATTCAGAACTCAGAAGCATGTGATCATACCATGCGCGCACAGCCCCACACACACAGTCACACACACATATATATATATGTTTCGGTGTTTCCATTTGTATGCAACGAGGAGGAATTCGTCGAAATTTCAAATACTTTGGCTTTGGAGTTTGGAGTTGGACTTTGGAGTGGAATGAAGTTAGAAAGAAATATAAAATAAATAGTGGGACCGAAGTTAATATTTTAAGTTAATATTTTAGCTATCCTCTATGTACCGAAGTCCCATAGGCAAGTTCTTGTTTGTGGCCATTAATAAGAAATTAAGAATCTCCCCTGCCTCTTGTTTTTGGACCTAATCTTTTGGCATTCGTACAAATTAAAACTTGAGATTTTGTGCTTAATCAATTATAATTCCTTTTTCTTATACGCAGAAGATATCTTGTTATTGAAAACTGAAAAGTTATAGTCCTCTATGATCCATAAATTATAATTGTATTTCCATAAACCATAATTAATTGTTTAAATAATTGAGTGTTTAAATTCAAAATCCTTTTCTCAATTAACATGCTCTCTAGATAATAATATGTTTGCTAGTTATAATTAATTGATACTATTGTATATTTGTATTGTAGAAATTAGAAGATGTCATCCCAATCTCAACAAGTATCCGATAATACTCCCTCTACACAATCTGTGAGATCGAAGGCTGATCCTGCATGGGAGCATTGTGTTCAAGTAGCTAGCAAAAACCCAAGTGGCAAACCTCGCTTGAGATGTATGTATTGTGCAAAAGAATTTGGAGGTGGAGGGATACATAGAATGAAACAGCATCTTGCGGGAATAAAAGGAGATATAATAAGCTGTAAAAAAGTTCCGGGTGATGTTCGCTTTCGGTTGGGAGAAAATTTGAAAGAAATTGAAGAGAAGAAAGGTAAGAAACAAGATATATATGAAGAGGACAATCCTTATGGTCCTAGTGTCACACCATTTGAAGGGGATGCTCCAAATTTGCAAGAGTTTCCTTCTACACAGATTCAAACTCCTACTCAAACTACTCCAACTCCTACTCCTACTTCTGCCTCAAGACCATCTCAAGCTGTGAAAAGAAAGCCATCTGCACCTATTGACAAATTTTTTGCCCCAAGGACAAGTCCAGGTGCACAACCGGGAATTAGAAGCGCATTCGCAGGTAAGGAAGCTGTGCATAGAGCAGACTTAGCTATGGCTAGGTGGCTCTATGATTGTTGTATTCCAATTAATGCTGTTAATTCTCCTTACTTCCAGCCTATGATAGATGCTATTGCAGCTATTGGACCTGGTTATAAAGGGCCATCTTATCATGCCTTTAGAACCAAATTACTGCAAGATATGAAAAAAGAGGTTCAATTATTAGTTGATGAGTGTAGAGGCTTTTGGGCATAAACTGGTTGCACAATAATGGCTGATGGTTGGCAAGATCAAAGAAATAGACAATTGATTAATTTTCTTGTTTACTGTCCTAGAGGAATTGTGTTCATTAAGTCTGTTGATGCCTCAGATATTGTGAAGGATGCTCAAACTCTTTGTAACTTATTTTTGGAAATGGTTGCATTTGTTGGTGTGGATAATGTGGTGCATTTGGTAACCGATAATGCAGCTAATTATAAAGCTGCTGGGAGGTTATTAACTGACAAGCATCCTTCTATATATTGGTCTCCATGTGCTGCCCATTGCTTAAATTTGATTTTAGCGGACATTGGCAAAATGGCTCTTGTTACTAGTTTGGCATCAAGAGCTTCAAAGGTTTCAAAATTCATTTACAATCATGCATTTTTGCTTGCCTGGCTGAGAAAAAGAGAAGGTTGGAAAGAAATCATCCGTCCAGGACCTACACGGTTTGCTACCACATTTATTGCATTAAAAAGTCTTCTTGATCACAAGCATGATTTACAAGCCCTGGTAACTAGCAAGGCATTTTTAGATTCCAGATACTGTAGAGATCAGAGAGCCAAAGATGTAACATTGATTATATTAGATAACAAGTTCTGGAATGATTGTAAGATTATTGTTGAAGTTGTGAAACCACTTGTTCGGTTGTTGAGAATAGTTGATTCTGATGATAGGCCTTCACTTGGATATATCTATGAGGGTATGTATAGGGCAAGGAAAGCTATCAAGAGTACTTTCATGAACAAAAAAACTTTATACAAGCCTTATACAAGAATTATTAAGAGAAGGTGGGATACACAGCTTCGTCAAGATCTTCACACAGCAGCTTATGTCTTAAATCCTGCTTTTCTTTATGACCAGGCTAACTTTTCTCAAAAGCCAGAGGTTATGAATGGATATCTTACAGTTATAAATAGAAAAGTAGCTTCCAATAAGACCAAGTTCTTGCAAGAAGGCACACAGTACCAAAATAGAAGTGGTAGCTTTAGTCATCCTTTGGCCCTTGAATCTGCAAAATCAATGCGACCTGGTAAAGTTTTATATTTTAATGTTTGATGATAGTTTGATGAGTCATGATTCTTGATTCTTAGGTATTAAGCCTGTGACTTAATCATTTGATGATGTTTTATTTTTGATATGACAGATGAATGGTGGCGATATTTTGGAGGTAGTTGTCCAAATGTGAAAAAGTTGGCTATTCAATTGTTAAGCCAAACTGCATCTTCATCAGGTTGTGAAAGGAATTGGAGTGTCTTTGAAAGAATACACTCTAAGAAAAGGAACAGGTTGGAGCATAAAAGGCTGAATGATCTTGTCTTTGTTCATTACAATTTTCGTTTGAGGAATAGGTATATTTTTCTAACTTTTAGACTCTACTTGAATTTATATTTTCCAAACAATTGATTAAATTAATGCTAATACTATGTTATTGTCATTTGTTTTTCAGAGTTGTTAACAAGAACAAAACTTTTGATCCTATTGATTATGAAAGTATTGATAAGATTGAATACTGGATAACTGAAGAAGTTGATTCTCCTCCACTTTCAACATTTCGTGCTGATGAGATCGAAGAAGACATCATTTATGATGATACAACACTACCAATGCCAAATGTTTTCATCAATGAAGAAGGTTAGATGTTTTTTAATCTTTCTATTTTTTTAATTTATATTTTACATTTGACTAATTTCAATAATATGATTGTTGCAAATTATTTTATAAAGATAATTATGAAGAGAGAGGCAATGAGGCTCAAGTTGAGGATAGATGCTTTGACATTGGAGTTGGAGCAGGTGTTGATTTGGGATCATTTTCTCAACAAGACATTGATAGTCACAGTGCAGAGGCTGCAGACCCAGATGCCTTTTTGGAGACTCATGCTTGGCTTAATCAAGATCCTCCAATATTTGACAAGTCATGAAGTCATTTGTCTTAGTGCATTATATTGAATACTTAGGAGTCATGTAGTGTTAGATTGCTAAGGACTTAAGGAATTTTATTTTGTTAAAACATATATAGTAAACATAATTTTACTATAAATTATGCTAATTATATTTATCATATTATATATATACTATATAACTATTTTTAATTTAATTATTATCTTACCGGTTCGACCGAACGGTCTAACAGTTTGAACCGGTTGAACCATGACCCGCTGCTCTTTCCGGCTCGACTTCCGGTCCGGCTTTTAAAACATTGGCTGACACCCAGAATCTGTATAAGAGCGCGAGCATTAACATCCACCGTCTATAAATACACGCCGCGCCTTAATGCCTTCTTAAATCAAAGGATCACTTTTCCATGCTATTCTAACAAGTCGTCTTCTTCTTCTTCTTCTTCTTGAATCTTGAGGCAGAGGCATAGCCATGGCCTTCAACATAACCTCCATCAAAACTTCGTCGGATGGAGCCTGGCAGGGCGATAATCCCTTGGACTACGCATTCCCGCTTCTCATCATCCAAACAACCTTGATCCTCCTCGTTAGCCGCTCCCTCGCCTTCCTCCTCAAGCCCCTCCGCCAGCCCAAGGTCATCGCTGAGATCGTCGTATGTCTCTGTCTCTCTCTGACTTCATGTTCTCCTCGCAAAATTATTTGTTGATCACTTTGTTTTATTTTCTTCTACAGGGAGGAATCGTACTGGGCCCCTCGGCTTTTGGAAGGAACGAAACTTACATGCACCGTGTGTTCCCTTCATGGAGCACTCCCATACTTGAATCCGTTGCCAGCATCGGTCTTCTCTCTTCCTCTTTCTTTCTCGTTGGACTCGAGTTGGACCTCAACTCCATTCGCCGCTGTGGTCGAAGGGCTCTTAGCATTGCGGTGGCCGGAATTTCCCTTCCTTTCGTTTGTGGCTTCGGCGTTTCCATCATTATCCGGAAAACCGTCGACGGAGCCGGTAAGGTCGGTTTCGCTCAATTTCTTGTCTTCATGGGCGTCGCGCTTTCCATCACCGCATTCCCTGTGCTCGCTCGTATCCTAGCCGAGCTCAAGCTGCTGACCACCCACGTTGGAGAGACTGCAATGGCCGCCGCAGCATTCAACGATGTCGCCGCATGGATCTTGCTCGCGCTAGCCGTCGCTCTCGCGGGGGACGCCGGGAACCAGAAGAGCCCTTTGGTATCGGTCTGGGTCTTGCTATCGGGGCTTGGTTTTGTGATATTCATGATGGTCGCGATCCGACCTGTAATGAAATGGGTGGCCCGAAGGTGCTCGTCGGAGCACGACGCGGTGGACGAAGTTTATATTTGCTTGACACTGGCAGGAGTGATGATTTCAGGATTCATGACGGACCTCATTGGGATCCACTCCATATTCGGGGCCTTTGTGTTCGGGTTAACCATTCCAAAAGGCGGTGATTTCGCAGACAGGTTAATAGAAAGGATCGAGGACTTTATTTCTGGCTTGCTTCTTCCTCTGTATTTTGCTTCTAGTGGATTGAAGACGGACGTGGCGAAAATCAGAGGCGCAGAAGCATGGGGACTTCTGGTTCTGGTGGTATCGACAGCCTGCGCCGGCAAGATACTGGGCACGTTCGCGGTGGCAGTACTGTGTAGGATGCCGGCGAGAGAGGCTCTGACTTTGGGTGTGCTCATGAACACCAAAGGACTGGTGGAGCTCATCGTACTCAACATTGGGAAGGAAAAAAAGGTCAGCTTCCTTTGCTGTATTTTGACGCTTTCCTTTGCTCTGTTCTGCTCATCGCACTCAACATGAATTTTGTGTCATGTACAGATTGTAAATGATCATACAAATATGCAATGAATGATTATAAGACAATTCAGTTGGCTCAATAGTGATGAAGAGGACGTACAAGTCTGATACTTAGGTTTTTTTTTTTTTGGGTGGTGTCTGCATTTTCAAAGCATCCCATATAGAGGAAGAGGATCGTCTATGCATCCTTTGTTTCAACCCGCTCTTAATTCCTGCTATTCAGAACTGATTTTTTTTTTTGAAAAAAAAATGTAGAATGGATTAAGATTAAATTTGGAGGTGAAAATTCAAAAGCCCATTCGCTCACATATTCTGGTTCTAAATATTAGTCATCTATGAAAATAAATTAATGATCTTATGTATATTAGTTGCTTCCCATACAAAGCTTGCCGAGGTTTTTTTTTTTGCCTTTAAAAAATGACCTTTATTTACAATTTTTAAGAACCATTTTTTTAATTTATGCTCTTAAGCAGGGATGAATTTAAAAAGTTGCCTTTTAGATTATTAACCTCTTTAATCTTGGCTAGGTAGTTGGAATTTTTAAGAGTGGTCTGAATATTTAAGTACCGTTTTTTCCTTTATCTCTATGTTTATTGAAGGATAGTTATGGTCAAGGGTCAAAAAAATAGTCATTTTAGTTCATTCAATCCCAGCACCAACATTTCTTATATTTTGCCAAAAAAAAAAAAAGAAAAAAAAAAAGCAAAAGGAAGTCTTATAGTGAGCTGTAACTACGTCGCGCGCCCAGGTTCCAGGGAGGGCACTATGCCAGTGGGCGGTTCACGTGGCAAAGTCAAAACACAAAATTAATACGCCTCGTTCCCCGTGAGGCTCTTTCCGTCTTTGACTTTACGTCTATGTTCAATTTTTGTTTTTTTTTTCCTGGAGCTGATTTACGCCTATGTTCATTAATCATCGGAGAAGAGAACAGGTGCCGTTCATGGCCTAATTTCTTTTATTTTCTCTTTAAAAAAATAAATAAGGAAGTGTCAAGTCTTCATCTCCACTAAACGACAACATCCTATCCCATAGTCCCCTTCCAACATTTTCGCACAATAGTGACAAAATGACATAGCAGGGCAAACATCTAACTCATGATCTGTCCCTTGTTCACATCACAGGTTCTAAACGACGAGATGTTCGCAATCTTAGTCCTCATGGCTCTGTTCACCACCTTCATCACAACTCCAACAGTCATGGCCATCTACAAACCCGCTCGTGGCATCTCCTCCCGCACCCACCGCAAGCTCGGCGACCTCACCGCCGACTCCAATAACGACGTCTCCGATCAGCTCCGAGTCCTCGCCTGCGTCCATGGCCCCGGCAACGTCCCTTCCATCATCAGCCTCATCGAGTCCACTCGCAGCACCAAGAAGTCCTCCCTCAAGCTCTTCATCATGCACCTCGTGGAGCTCACCGAACGCTCTTCCTCCATTATCATGGCTCAACGAGCTCGCAAGAATGGCTTCCCTTTCTTCAGCCATTACCACGGCGCCTACTGGCACGACCCGCTGGCCGGGGCTTTCCAGGCCTATAGCCAACTGGGCCGAGTCTCCGTTCGGCCAACGACCGCCATCTCCTCTCTGGCCACCATGCACGAGGACATTTGCCACGTGGCCGAGGAAAAGAGGGTGACCATGATCATCTTGCCCTTCCACAAGCAATGGAGGAAGGTGGAGCAGGAGGATGAGGACAAAAGGAGTCATTCTCACGAGATTATGGGGAATGTGGGCCATGCGTGGAGAGGCGTGAACCAGAGAGTGCTGAGGAACGCGCCTTGCTCTGTGGCGGTCCTGGTGGACCGTGGGTTTGGGGACGGGTACAAAACTCCAGGCCCAAATGTAAGCATGGCCCAAAATGTTTGTATCGTGTTCTTTGGTGGGCCCGATGATCGAGAGGCCTTGGAATTGGGCTCAAGAATGGCCGAACATCCGGTGGTTAAGGTTACGGTGGTGAGGTTCGTTGACCCGGAGTGGGATGCCTCCAGAAGTAGCGAACTCGTGCTCCGCCATTCACCGAAGAACAGCAGCGACAATATCTACAGCTTCTCCACCGCCAAAATGAACCGTCAAACGGAGCAGGTAATCCAAATTAGAATGAAGCCCATGAGAGATCAATAATTAACCAGGGAATTATTATTAGAATTGAAATATACTTGACATTTGATTTTTTTTTTTAATTTTTTATTATCTGATGTGTTGGCTGGTGCAGGAGTTGGATGAGGCGGCGGTGGCGGAGTTCAGAAGCAAATGGGAAGGAGTGGCGGTGTACGTGGAGAAGGTGGGGAGCAGCATAGTGGAGGAAGTGATGGCGATAGGGAGGGGCGGGGGTTACGATCTGA